CGTGCACTATTGATAACTGACCATTTTCTGTGGGTATTATTTTACTATAGAGTATCAGTTATCATTTCTATCAGATAAAATAGTTTCAATATATTAATATGAAAGAATAGGATTTTATTTTGTGAAAATTTTGTTGAACCTTTAGGGATTGCTGAAGTGGACATGCTGTTGATGTGGTCTTTTGCTAATGCTCCCCTCTGCCCATCTGTTGCAGCTTAGTTTCTCTTTGTTTAGATAAGTCTAGATTTCCACCTTACACAAAGTGTAACATTGAACACTCATCCAATATACTTTGGAGCCTTACTTTAGGGTTCCAAACATGATTAATTAGTTGCCTTTTGGATAAAGATAGATAAATCTGTAAAAATTAATACCAAGGCAACAGATTTTTTAATCAAATGTCATAATGTAATTCTGATGTAAAATATTTTTGATTGATAAACAAAAGGATATCACCTGACTAGCTCCATGTAACCTAAAATGTATGAATAAATATTCTACAACATGGTTATCTTTTTCATATTGTGAGTTTTATTAAGTAGTCCTAAATGCATTAAAATGAAATCAATTTATATTCCATTTTAACTACATTATCAAGGTCACTATTATTTGAAAATGTCTGTATAGACAGGATATTGCATGTCATTCTATCAGTTACTAAACAAAAAACCTTCATTAAGTCAAACTAATCCAGTTTTATAGACTGTTGAAATGTACTTGCGAGTTGACATTAACATAAGCCCCAGTGATGACACTGAGTCTACTCTAGTTGAGACTAAAATTGTTTTTATCCAAATATCTATCTAAAAAGATATCAAAAGAGAGGGCAGACTTATCTTTTGTATTCTGCTGCCATTCTCAAATTCATACATCTTTTGCAGAAGTACTTTCTGTATCTTACTAATACTTAGTCAGTGGCTTAAATCCTGTTGCTTAACCTAGCAAACCACAACTAGAATAGGATCAGTGGAATCATGGAGTTGATTCACCAAATCCCCATTGATGGCTTAAATCCTGTTGCTTAACCTAGTAAACCACGACTAGAATAGGATCGTTGGAATCATGGAGCTGATTCACCAAATCCCCATTGATTCAGTTGTGCCTACTCTAGTGCCACTTACTGTTCTAAGCAACAGGATTTCATAATCTGGAAAAACCATATCCCATAGTATATGTGTTAGACTTCAAGGGGCCACAACAATTGGTTCTGTTTGTTTATCTGTTTGTAATTGCCTAGTAGCAGCTATTCTCCCCCAACCATATATTTATATATGTGGTCAGAGTCAGCATTGTGCTGGGATACAGCAGCAGTCTTCTGAAATGTCCTGAAGAATAATCATAAAGACTAGGATGAGATAGCATCTGGGAACTATCTAAGCCACTTTGAGCTTCTGTGGGGAAAGATGCAATAGTAGTATAGGTGGTGCATGTCTCCATGATTGTAAGTGACATTTCTAATTTTATGAGCTTTCCTCCTCTAGTCATGTATTCTTGTTGTAATACAGAACAGAGACAAATGTATCCAGTGAGATGCCTTGGACTTCATGGTTTGGATGAAACTTAATAATTGCTTGGAGATGCTAAATCCTGTGTTAGAATAGCCATGATGCTGTCGAACCTTTGACAGAAGAAGGAAGAGAAGAAGCAGCCCCTACCCTTTGACCCTCTTAGTAAAGGAAAGACATGACTCTTAGGCAGTAGTCCAAATTCTGTTTCTGACATAACAGAAATAGTGTACCTTTGGTGGTGAATTGCTACAAGTTACAAAGTCAGTATACACACTGTATATTGTGCACTGAGCTGCACTATTCAATAGGCACAGAGGATGTCTACGCTGACTTTGTAACTTGCTGCAATTCCCTGCTGAAGGTTACATCATTAACATTCAGACACCAACAGGATTTGGGCCAATGTATCTTATTTTAGAGTAGACAGGTTCCAGAAAATGAATGTCCCTACACCTGTAAGCTATCCTAATACACATTTAAATCTATGTGAACCCATCATTCATTAAAGAAATCATGCATATGCATCATTATAACTTTATCTTGTTTTTTAAATGGAATATTTTTATGTCTTTCATTTCAAAGTGCTTTCTTGTTCCTTCAGAAATGCCATATAAGGTGTTTTTTTTTAATTGACATCATTTGCTAATATCTTCACCCCGTCCCCCGGTGAAGATTTTCCTGTTTAGTGCCTCTGTATTGTAGAGACAATACAGAAGCACTAAACAGGTGCTGTTTCATGAAGAGGAGGGAAATTAAATTATTATATTAAACCTTGATTGATTTCTGTTAAGAGTATGGTAGGTATCTTGGTATGCAGAGGTATGCAATTTTAAAAAAAGAATTTGTGTGAAACTCTGCCATAGGGCATTTGCTGAAGTGAGGATTTTTTTGTTAGCTTGATAATAGCTCTTTTTGTATGTATGTATGGGAGGGAGGGAACATTACAAAAAGTATTCCATTTTCTTTTCCTTTTTTTGCCTTTTCAGAAGAAGGGATAACCAGAGTATGTATGGAAGGGAGGGAACATTACAAAGATTATTCCATTTTCTTTTCCTTTCTTGCCTTTTCAGAAGAAGGGATAACCAGAGATGGTACCACACAACAGTAGTATTGCCCTGTTTCATGCGTAACCAAGGCAAAAAGTCAGGCATTCCAAGGGGTAGAAACAAGAAACAGACATCCAGAAGTAGAGTCCAGAGATAGTTCAACGGTATAACATGAGAAGGTCCCAAAGAACAAGAGGTATTTAAAGGAGAAGGCAGCCAGACTCTAGAACAAACACAAAGGCTGCTTGCCTAATGCTGTGTTTTATAAGCCTGAGCTCCCTGAACTCATAGCTAAAGCCATTGCTCAGCATTATAGCATGTGCTTTGCATTCAGAATGTCATCGGTTCAATCCACAATATCTGTATTGCAGGCTCCCAAACAAAGGTCTTTATGAGCAAGATCTTGTTCACGAAGAGCACCTTATGCATGTATTCTCTTGTTCTGCAGGGAAATACATCTTTGTATGAGCTAACCTCTATTTTTAGATGCTGGCAGTGTCTGGCACTAGGAGGTAGCTCAGCTTTCTTCTCCAATGCAGTTTTCCACTTTGGTGGATCTCCAAACTGCTCCCCCCACCCAAGAATTGCTTACTTTTTGGGATAATCTGTAGATCTCAGCCTGATTTCTGTGTTGTCTGGCTTAGGAAGATCCAGACTGTTCTTCTTAGAAGAATCATCTAGCACAGTGCTTCCCAATGTTGGTTAACACTGTTCTCAGACTTTAATTCCCAGAAGCCTTCACCACTGTCTGTACTGGCCGGAGTTTCTGCCATTGAAATCCAAGAACACCTGGGTTACTCAAGGTTGGGAACCACTGATCTAGTGGGATCGTAATAAATATTGACAAACATGTACTAAGAATGTTAAGTGTGCTTTGAATCCCATGACACCTGGACTTCCGTGATTTATAATTTTTGCTGTTACAAGTGACTGGTTCAGACTGCTTATAATCTTTGATCACTGCATCTGACTTGCATGTAAATAGTTGTTGACTTTGAGATAAAACAATGTTGGAAAGCAAATACTTATTTCATTTCATTTCATTTCAATGCCGTCTTTCCCTTGATATAGGAATCCCAGATAATTTACAAATAGTTAAATATATTTTGTTTGCTTTTTGTGCTGTCTGATTCCAGTAGGAACTCTGGCTCTCAGGCCTGCGTGTCCCACAATAATTAAGTAGAAATAAATGTAGAAAAAAGTGAGTTGTCTCCCAGGTTGCTGGCAGAAAAAAAGACGAGCCAAGATGTGAGGTCCTGCTGAGTTCGAATATCATGAGAAATAAATCATGGAAGAAAGGGCTGTGGTTAGTTTAAGCTACTTGCAGTGAAAGCAGTCAGGCATCATACACCAGCCTGTAACTCCTGTTTATTGTGATCTTCAAACCACATCTTACATACCCCTCTTTGTATTTTCCAAAGCCTGTAGAAAGCTGGGATTTGAATTCATAGGTTTCTTCCCTAGTGCTCCAGATAGTCCTCTCTTTTTTTGATTTGGCTGTAGGAAGAAAATTTGTAAATTATGTACAGCAACAGTGATTGCATTTATGCATGTCACTGTTTAAAGCAAAAAGTGCAGTCTCATGTTCTGAAACAATAGGAACACAACACATCTTTCTTAAAATGAAAATTTTCAATTCTCAGCCAATTTTAAAAACAACTACTACAACAAAATGTTTTGCTGCTGAGTGGGGTCTTTAAAGTGAGTTGTACCTCATTGCATTGAATGTGTTTTGGCGTTGCTTATGTTTTTTGCTATTGTATCCATTGATCCTTTTAGTATTGTACACTCTTTGTTACTAACTTAAATACTGTATTTTTTTAATTGCTGTAAGCCACCTTGGGTTCTTTTTAAGGAGAAAGGCCAGTCAAAAACAAACAAACAAACAAACAAATAAATAAATAAATATTTTTATACTAAATCTTATGATGTACGTATCTGTGAGTGACAGTGCAGAAAAGGGGTGTGCCAGCATTGTTACTGTAGCAGTCTGGCTGCTCAGTCCCAAACACAATTATAAACGGTTAATTCAGTATGTCAGTAATACAGATTTGCACATTGGAAGCTCAATGTGTACTGACTGAAAAAAACATGAAGGTATATAAACTTTGATTCCACAGTGTTCATCCTGTGTTTGAACTCGCCTCCTTTTCCATTAATACAAAATTGTGTTCTCTGCAAATGGTGTAATGATGCACACTCAAGTATGACACTTGTCCACACAGCACTGGCCATAACACCCTGCCAGTTTTAGTATTCTGGTACAAAAGTGCTTGTACTACTTTCCCAATGCAGTAGCTCACAGAATTAGGTCATTAGTCACACAGGATAGCCAGGCAACTGAACTATATGCTTGATCTAGTGACATTATTCTGAGGCACTTTTATATCAGAGGCTGTAGGTTCCCTCCACTCACTAAAGTCTTGCCTTTCTCTCTCTTTTTCAGGCTTCACTTAAGCTCTTGGGACAGAGAGCAGTCCTCAAGAGTGCTGTTTTTAAAAGACCTATACTTTCATTGGCAGGAAAGCCACAGGGGTTTATTAAAGCACTTAGTGCTATAACTCATGATGGGTTGCAAAAAAAAGTAAACAGAACTTTGCACCTTAAAAGTGGATATTGTATATACAGAAGAATTCTTACTACCCTGCAATAATGGCCTCCTCAAGGCTAGCCGCAAGAACACCTCGGGATATTGCTGGTGTCATGCAGAGACTCCAAGGTAAGTGATGGTCAGAATTCATACAATTTGCTTTATTTGCTTCTCCAAATACTGCTGAAGTCCAGATAAGGACAGGACTTTTTTTTCTTGTTCTGTGACAATTGTGTTGAAATATATAGATGAATCCATAGTAACATTTGGGTTAGCCCAGCTGAAATTAGTTTTGTATTTATTTAAATCCTGAAGAAGCTGCTTTTATTGTCAGTTTCTAATTTATTAATAATATTATGATAATAACATCTCATGTCTAGCATTGCTTGGGTTGTTATGAAGTGTTATATGTATTTACTGTTATACCCTCCTTTCTACAATCTGCCCAGTTACGAGTAGTAATTGGAGGCATATTAATGGGAAACAACAAGTTTGGCTTATTTAAAACATTGTGTTATATGTTTTTAACATTTCTGTGCTAGTTCTTCATTGCTAGAGGAAATTCTTTGGTTGTGAATGTAAAATTGTACAACCCAGACTGTGAAATTATAGAACAATATAACCACAGGAATTAGAGACAAAACATGAGTGGGGTTTTTTTTTTTTTGAAGGCTCAACTCAGTATCTTCTAAGCATGCTAATTATCTTTTAGGAAGAAAAGATCATTCCACAAACAATAATCATATATACATATACACACCAGTCATTTGCGCACACATTCTTTTTAGATCTCTTTTCCAGTGCATCTGATCCATACCTGTGATCTTATGAGAACTGTAGTCCGAGAAGAGGAATGGTCTAAAGCAGTGGTTCTTAACCTTTGTTACTCAGCTGTTTTTGAACTGCAACTCCCAGAAACCCCAGCCAGCACAGTTGGTGGTGAAGGCTTCTGGGAGTTGCAGTCCAAAACTCCTGAGTAACCCAAGGTTAAGAACCAGTGGTCTAAAGCTCAACTAAGAGGCAGAGGGTAAAAACACCTCAGCTTCTGCCTCTAGAGCAGTGTTTCCCATCCTAGGGGTCATGACCCCCAAGGGGGTTGCAAATGTTTTCTGGAGAGTCACGGGTACCTTTCTATGTGTTGTAGCTCTTGTTTAATAATTTATTTGACCTTTCAGAGTGGGATATTAAAGTTAGAGTGTATGAGGAGCAAGCCCGTGGGGGCAGGGGGAGGGGGGGAAAAAGAAGCATCTACTTTCTGAGAAGGAATAACTTTACCCTATTAAAAATGCTTTTTTATGCAAATATGGGGGGGCTGTTGCAGAATACTTGGCTATTATAAAAGGAGGTTGTGACTCAAAAAAAAAATGTTGGGAACAACTGCTCTAGGCACTTGGACATTGTAACTCAGCCAAAACTTTGGGACAGCTGCGTTCAAGTCTTTCATATACTTTTCTGTAGTGGTTCCAGACAATTCCGGCTCCACTCTTTTGAAGATGGGGAGGATCCTCAGCTGAGGCCTCATGGGCCAGATGGAGAAACTTGTGTGGATCAAAGTCAGCCGATGGATTAATGGCTTACTACTACTCTGATAAAGCATGAATAAAGTGTGATACCCAAAATGCTCTTCCAGTTTAGTCCAAGGATAAATGACCTGGTGCTTTCTATATGGTTTGGATTATAGCTTCCATAAATCCCAGTCAGGAAATGTGGGAATTGTAATCCAGAATATCTAGAAGATATAAAATTGCCTGCCCCTAATCTAGTCAAGACCTAAGTCATGATTTCCTCCCCCACGCCCCCAAGACATTTATGGACGGAGGAAAAATGGAAAATATTTGAAACATACCTTTATTTTCATGTGCAGTGATTACTGTTCCCAAAGAGATATTTTTTTAAAAAACGAACTGTTGAGTTTCTTGAAATTGTTGTGAAATTTGCAAACGTATTGAACAATTTCACTGGTTTTGACTCTAGAAACCCAAACAGATTTGTTGAATTTGTCATTATTTTATGTTGTATTGCTGACCATAGATATGATGAATATGGAGGAGATGAAATATGGTTTTATTTGCTAGTTGCTCTTACTATTATAGAATATAGTATGTCTGATTCAAACTGTTTATAATTTAGTTTTTAAAACATAGACTTGTGTGGAGCATTTAGATAAATGAGAGGCTAGAAGGGCCATGAACTAATACATGGAACCTCATTTCAGTGTATCCACAGCCTTCCAACTTGTTTGCTAATTTCCTGTTCTTGCCTCTTTTTTAAAAAAGGATGTAGACAGTTTCTGACTGCTGCTGTAAGATCAAACGGGGGGGGGGCATTTTTCCCCTGTTTTAAATCACCTCTGCTGAGTACAGTTCTTTTTTTAGATCATGGTCCTGCATTATGGATGAGCAGACAATCTGCAGTGCAGACTCTTTCTCCTCTTCTTGAATTAAGAGGTTTGTCTGTAGTAGATGTCAAACATAAGTTATTTGATAATTGCAAAAATCCTATAAACCCAAAAGTGCTCAGTCAGGTCTGAACAGTGTGTGCTCCATCTGTTCAGAGCAGTCCACTACCAATACAGTATATTGTGGTCTGCAAGGTACTTGAATCCATTTTTTTTTCATTCTGCCATCCCAGATGGGTTTCTTGGGAATGAACAGATCTTACTCACTTACATGTTTGCTGTTATATTTCTGAATATTCTGCTGTCATTGCGGATTGTTCATTTTGGACATTAGAGCTTGAAGAAAATCCTGTTATCTTTGTTATTTTGCCTGGATGGCTTATTTTAATCCATAGTACAACAGATCAAAAATGTGTTTAGTTTAAATTTGGCCTCTTTTCTAGTTCCCACCAGGTCATCTACAATGGTGATCAAATCTATCCCCAGCCCATAACAAAAACTGAAAACAGATTGAAGTTAACATAGACAGTCTTTTTTATTCAGAAGCACCTATAGCTGAAATACTACACATGCTCAGGTACATTGCCCAAGAATGAAAAAGTGGAGATTGGGTGGAAACTACCCAACATGGTGGAGTTTGTGGAGTTCCTTTCTCCTACCTCTTTGAGACATAATGGAATCATACACTTTTGTTAGGGAGGCATTCTCTGCCATCCCTGTCTAATCAGCTCTCACTCCCTTGCAGCTTTGGTATGGCAGAAAGGGCAAATGTTGACTGCACACTTAGTAGCTATCACCTGCAGAGTAATCCTGCTCCCTAACTGGATGAGTTTGTCTATAATTTTCAATCTCATTGACTATGGTACTCTTCTAGACTGCGTATTTGGTAGTTTATAGGCATTTGTTTCTTTTGTTGGAACAGAAGCTAGTTGGCAGGCATCCCTTCCGGAAACATGTGAGTGTTGCTTAATATAGCTACATCCTCAGCTTTATAATCAATATTTATGTCTCTTGCAATAATTGGAAACTGTGGCAACATGTTCAGCCTCATATATGCTGCAGGAGGTCTTTGAAAAGTTTCAAATGACTCACTGAAATACTATTACACCATGGGTTGTGATGTTGTGTAGTGATATGCTGGCTCAATTTCAAATATTTCTTTCCTGAGACAATGATTTAAATGCTGGATGTTGCACAATTTGAACAATATTGAAACAAGAAAATTGTGCAAAAATAATGTACTGATGTAAACTTAAGGAAGAAGATCTTTACTAGGAGTATGTGAATATCACCCAATTTCATTTTGTTTCCCAATATTAACTGTACAAATCAGGACCCACTGCTCTAAATCAGGGGTCCCCAACCTGATTTAGGTTGCGCATGCGCAAACAGCAGTGTGGCACTCGCACAGGCGCTCTGGAGCACTTGCACATGCATGATTCAGCTGTGCGGGGGTGAGTGCGTGCGTGGGGTGGGGTGGGGTGGGATCTGTCTCCATGGCCCAGTCCGGCTCAGGCCATAGACCGGCACCGGGCTGCGAACTGGGGGTTGAGGATCTCTGCTCTAAATCAACTAGGACTTTCCCAGCCTTGTACCTGGCTTAGAAATACACAAATACAGCTACTCTGCCTTGTTTGAACAATTTTCTCTGAAGCAGATGCATATTCCTAATTTTTAACAAGACAGTCACATTAAATTCTTGCATGAATATACGGGTTGGCTTCTAAGTACCAATAGATAAATAAAATTTAATTTAGGCTGTGGTTTACTTGTAAGAAACATATATGACAAAGTTGTGCAGGCTCATGTGAGTTTATTTATAGTGTTTTGTAAGTAACTTACTTGAAATTATCACCATATTACTCAGACAGAAACTAATAAAGTAACTACCAGCTCAATTTTCACATAACCTTCCATTTTTCCTAGATCGGTGAATTGAGTACACCCCCCGCTGGGGGGGGGGCAATGAGTAGCCTGCATAATTAAATTGTAAACTTCCCAGAGAGTGCTGTTAAGTGCTATGGGGTGGCATATAAGCTGCATGCTTTGCTTTTGCTTTTTGCTATGTGTGGGGAAATGAAATATTTAGGGTTCAGAGGTGTTTAAAGAAGAGAAGCAAAATTAGAGTTCAAGGAGCACCTGGCTGTGAGTCTGCATTTTTTTAAGAATACAGTGGTGCCTCACATAACGAGTGCATCGTTTAACGACAAATCCGCATAGCGATCTATTTTTTGGGATTGCTAGTGCGATTGCATTGCGATGTTTTAATAGCCTAAACATCGCATTGCGATGATCGATAAGCGGAACAGCTGATCGGCGGTTCCAAAACGGCCACCGCTTACCCAGGCGGCGAAAATGGCGGCGCTATGGAGCATCTTCGCATAACGAAGGAACGCATTGCAATGTTTCCAGATAGTGACGATTAATCTGGAATGGATTAACGTCGCTATGCGGGGCACCACTGTATGGTTCAACCTTATCTAATTGCCAAGGTACCCACCAGTTCTATGGGTTTTCCCCCCCCGCATTGCAATGTTTCCGGATAGCGACGATTAATCTGGAACGGATTAACGTCGCTATGTGGGGCACCACTGTATGGTTCAACCTTATCTAATTGCTAGGGCACCCAACAGTTTGAAGGCCTACATGATCAACACTGCAAAATTACTTTCAAATAAGTAGTTGAGCTTTGTTGTAAGAATTCTAATCAGAAATGACTACTGTCTCTGCA